ACCATCTTAAAATTTGTAAGGAATCGGGGTGCGTGGGTAGCTCAGTTGGTTAAGTGTCTGCCTTTGGCTCAGGTCATCCCAGGGTCCAGGGATCTAGCCCCAAGTCGAGCTCCCTTCTCAGTGGGGAGTCTGCTTCTCCCTCTCCCTCTGCCCCTCCCCGCCACTTGTGGGCTCATGCGCTCTCTCTCTCTCAAATAAACAAATAAAATCTTAAAAAAAAAAAAAATCTGTATGGAACCATAGAAGATCCCAAATAGTCAAAACAACCTGGAGGAAAAAAAACAAAACAAACCAAAGCTACAGGCATCAGACTTTTGATTTCAAGGTATATTACAAAGCTATGATAAACAAAACAGTACAGTGTTGGCATAAAAAGAGACACACAGATCAATGGAACAGAACAAAGAGCCCAGAAATAAACCCATACATATACGGTCAATTAATTTCCAACAAAGGAGCTTGAAAGACCACCACCAACAAAGGAGCTAAGAATACACAATGGGGAAAGAAAAGTCTCTTTAATACATAGTCCTGAGAAAACTGGACAGCCACATGCAAAAGAATGAAACTGGACCACTAGCTTACACCATAGATATAATTAACTCAAAATGGATTAAAGGCTTAAATGTAAGACCTGAAACCGTAAAACATCTAAAAGAAAACACAGGCAGTAAGCTCCTTGACATCACTCTTGGCAATGAGTGTTTGGATTTGACACCAGAAGCAAAGGCAACAAAAGCCAAAGTAAACAAGTGGGATGACACCAAACTCAAAAGCTTCTGTACAGCAAAGGAAACCATCAACAGAGTGAAAAAATAGCCTACAGAATGAAGGAAAATATTTACAAATCATATATCTGATGAAGGGCTAATATCCAAAATATACAAAGAACTCATACAACTCAACAGCAAAAACACAAACAAAAAATGGGCAGAGGATCTGAACAGACACTTTGCCAAAGAAGACATCCAAACGTCCAAGAGGTACATGGAAAGGCACTCAACATGACTAATCATCGGGGAAATGCAAATCAAAACCACAATGAGATATTACCTCACACCTGTTAGAATGGCTATTAGCAAAAATATAAGTGATAACAAGTATTGGCACGTATGTGGAGAAAAGGGAGCACTTTCCCACTCTTGATGGAAAGGTAGGTTGGTGAAGCCACTATTGAAAACAGGATGGAGGTTCCTCAAAAAATTAAAAACAACTACGAGATGATCTGACAATTCCACTTCTAGGTATACATCCAAAGGAAATAAAAATGGGATCTCAAAGAGGTATCTGCACCCCCATGTTCACTGTAGCATTATTCACAATAACCAAGATATGGGAACACCCTAAGTGTCTGTCCAGGGATGGATGGATGAAGATGTGGTATATATACGTACAACAGAATGTTCTTCAGCTGTGAGAAAAAAGGAAATCCTGCCATTCTTGACAACACAGATGGACCTCGAGGCATTATGTTAAGTGACAGAGAAAGACAAATACTGCATGGTATCACTCATATGTGGAATTGTAAAAAAAAAAAAAAAAAAAAAGTCAAACTCGTAGAAACAGAGAGTAGCAAAGGGGTTGCCAGGGGCTTAAGGTGGAGGAAACAGGCAGAGGTTGATAAAAGGGTACAACTTTCAGCTGTAAGATGAATAAGGCCCAAGGATCTAATGTATAACACGGTGACTACAGTTGGTAACACTGTGTTATTTAATTGAAATTTGCTAAGAGGAGGAAATTTAAATGTTCTCACATACACACACGAAGATAAATATGTGAGGTGAGGAATGTGTTAATTAACTAGATGGTCAGGATTCTTTCATGGTGTATGTGGTGTATCAAATCACCACAATGTACACTTTCAGTCTTACAATTTTGTCAATCATACCTCCATGAAGCTAAAAAAAGCAAAGATGGAAACGACATTACAGGATCGCTGCTAACATTTGCTCTCTGATGCTCGTAACAGCAACTGACCGTTTGTGGAATCCGTGGCCTCCTTTCCTTCCCTTCACTCATGAGTCTTATCACCTAAGCCACGGTCTTTCCTCCCCTGTACACCAACATCCTTCTACCCCTTGGGCTTCTGTCCTGAAAATGTCTCCAAGTCGTTTTTCAAAAAATAAGAAATTTTCAGCACAGTGTACAAGGCCCTTCACATCTTCCATCCCCAGTAAACATCAGGCAGCCTCCAATGACAGTGAACTAGAGTCAATTTTCAATGATACATGGGAAGAATTAAGTGCAGGCTCTACATTCATTACCACTGCCAGTGTAAATGGAAGGGCTTTGCTACCATGCTTCTCCCATGATCCCCACTCCCCACAGCGGGCAGGGTCAGGGCTAAGGAGTTCCCAAGACTGCTCTTCAACTTCAAAGTCGGGGAGGCTCCAGGGAAGACAAGAATACGGGGCAGGGAAGCATACCACCTGGAAACAGGGGCTCGGGACCCCACTCAGGCCCCTCTGAGATGTAGCTGGGACACTCCACCCTCCTCAAACTGCTCCCCACAGCCCAGCCTTAGGTATAGGTCTCAGCTGGGACAGGGCAAACTTTGAGTCCTAATAACTGGGAAATGCATGAGAGGCTGACATCCCACTCACCACTTTACCAGGCTAGCGCGGCCTCCATTTCTTTCCAAAATATGCCCTTGGATAAAGTCACTTTTCCTGCTGGCGCTTGAAAGACCACTGACCAAAGAGCATGCTGGGTCCCCACTCATTATTGCTTAAATGATCTGGAGACTCTAAGAGCCATTACCCAGCGAATCCACCCAGCCTGTCCTTACCAAAGGGACCCACTATGCCTCTGCACACACATGCCCTCATTCTCTAAAATTCACTCCAAACACAGCTTCCCATGGCTTTTCCAGACTCCTTTCTGAGGGGCAGTCCACTATGCCTTGGGCACCAGGGACTCACTATAAGAACCTCAACCAGAGCTGTCAGGGTCCTGCCCCCAACCCACAAGGGCAAGAGAAACGCTGCCTAGAGCTTATTTTATCTATTTTTGTAGCTGCTAAAACACAGTGCTAGAACTGTAAGAAAAAATAGTCTAGAATCCAGTTGGTGCTCACAATATTTATTATATGAATGGATATATCTAATGATTTTCCCACTGGACATTTATCTAAACCAGAGAAGTAATTTTTAAGAAGTTACAGGGTTTTGGCCATGGATGTCATGAGCTTATAAAAATTAATTCTTTAAAATAATATGGGTATGGATATTGTGTAAGTATCTTTTCATGGTTATGAATGGTTCTCTACCTAGTTGCACCCAGGAATCAGCCATTTGCCCAACAGTCACTGACAGCTGCCAGGCACTCGTGCAGAATACCCTGCTCGGAGTGAGCATGTTACTACCCTGCCTACCACTCTCTGGGAAAGAGAAACTTTCAGAATAACTGAAATGATTAAGTGTGTTAATATCGTTAAGTGTCAGATGCTGATACTGATGAATTACTGATGAATTCTGACGATCAGATTTGAGGATTTGTGCTTATTTTTCTCTTACTGCCATCAAATACATGACTACATTTATAAAATACTAAGTCTTAAAAGGTTCCACTTCAATGACTATTAAAAAAAAATTGATCTGCGACGGGTAAGAGCTTTCCTGTGTAACGGAAATCTCCTAGGAATGGATGTCTAATATCCCAATGGTGTTTATCTTATATCATGTCTGCAAGAGAAACTTGGGAGTGCCCCAACAATGCAAGAGGGGGTGTAAGGCTAGGAAGAGACAGGTCCAGGGAGCAAGGTCAGAATAACTTTGAGCATAGCGGGAGGAAGGAAGGAGGGCGTAGAATCAGGCTGCACAATATGACCTCCAAGCTTTCGATTCCAAACCAGGATGTAGACCTGGACATCACAACACTCTAAATAAATGAGACATGTCATTTCCACCAAATGAAACCATAAAGGATAATAAGGTGAAGACACCCAGACACTTAATCCTACCCTTATGAAATACTACACATTATTTCTGTGCTGTTCTGGTTACCACACATCAATAAGGAACATAAGTGAAATTAAGAAGCCTCCAAAAAAGAAAAAAAAAAAAAAAGTGGTCAGGGTGGGGGGGACCCCACTCACAAGAAGTTTAGTAGTAGTTTTAGGCCAAATGAAAGACAATTCTAATTTATATTAAACCAATAAACTTACAGATATCACACCAAGAGATTTTATAGTCCAAAGTTATAGATCCAAGAATAGTTTAAAACAATTTGTGAATAACACAGGCAAAATAAGGTTCTGAAGGAAAGCTAATGAATTTGGGTGCTCTCCCTACTGGGGATGAAACTGTACCTTCTCATAAAGCATTCCTTATTGCCTGGCCAGAGATACACCACCAGATTAATCAGACTATCAAACCGCAACTCTTATATTTAAATCAATGTCCCAAACGATTTTTTAGGGTTGAGAAATATCTGTTACACAGACACATGTTTTTGTCCAGTACCTGTTATTATAGGACCCCTGGATCTCCGAGCCCACATGCTGTATTACCGGTACAATTTTAACACACATGAGCAGATTTCTCATACAAACAAGCACAACATTCCCCAGAATCCTTTATCTGTTGGCATGTTTTCATGTAGACTTATCTTCCCAAGACCAAAGTCGGAAGGAACCTTGGCAAGACTAAAAGTAGCCTAAAGGCAATTCTTGTTTATCTCATGCTCCCAAAGCAGCGCACAAAAGGCCTGGCTCAAGACCACCTGTTGGGCCGCAGAGCTGGGGCATCAGGGCATTTTACAAGTGGGGGACACCCACCATTCTGCTTTCTAGCTACTCGGTTCCATCATGTGCTGATGCAGGAACAGCAATCTAATTTTTGAACCAGAGCCCTTGAAACCTTCAATTGGATGTGGCTCAACACTTTGGGGCCACACTTAACTGCCACTTAATTCATGTAAAACCTACTCTGCAAATCAAGCATTTGAGGCGAAAGCACCAACTTCTCGCATTTGTTTTAAGCAGGGCACTGCAGACTTACCTTTGGCACTCAGTTGTAAGAGATGACTGGCAAAATACAGAACTCCTCAAAAGGTGAAGTTCTCTGCTGGTCACACGCCTGAAGTTACAAAGCTGCAGGAGTTCTCCAAATTCTTGAATCCAACCCAAATCTCAGCAGAGAATTATGATCTGGGCAATCACTTGTATAAAAGGAACATAGGAAATCTGAAGGGAAACGGAAAAAAAAAAAATATATATATATATATATTACGACTGCCTACTTGTAAGTAACTGCATGATTATCTATTTGCATGAAACCAGTATTTTTTTTTAAAGATTTTATTTATTTATTAGGGGGAGAGAGAGAGATTGGGAGAGGGAACAGAAGCAGAGGCAGAGGGGGAGGGAGAAGCAGGCTTCCCGCTGAGCAGGGAGCCCAATGTGGGGCTTGATCCCAGGACCCTGAGATCATGACCTGAGCCGAAGGCAGACGCTTAACCCACTGAGCCACCCAGGCACCCCGAAACCAGTATTTTTAATACACCCTGGAAACAAGTTGCTTTGTACCTACTGACCTCTACCCAAATAAAATTGTTCTCCTCCTCTACCTTCAGCTCCCTGTTATCAGCTCTGAGGCTGTCAGGTACCTCTGTGGAGGGAAGAGATGGGGAAGGTAGGGACAGGTGGCCACCAACAAGATTCTTCCTGCCCTCCTCTCTACAACTTCTCCCCACACCCTTCAAAGCCTGCCAAAAACAAAAGAAAGGTGTGCCAAGTGGAAAGGAAGCAAGTCTGAGAGCCTAATTAAAGGGAGAAGAGTTGCAGAGAGCATGGATATTTAAATTTAGAGACTCGTTCCTCTTTTGGAAATCTCCTGCACTGGCCATTTATTGAGAGAGGCCCCCTACTGGACCCATAGCCTTGTGCTAAAAACAACCCTGCAGGAAATCTGGGAATAATATCCTGAAACTACAAGGAAGTTGAGACCAGAAAAGCCTGACAGAGGTGATGGGCAGCCTCTCCCTCCTGCTCCTGCAGAGTTTGCTGCTGCCTTATGTTCTCTGTACTCGGGTGGCTATTGTCAGTCCTTGCCGGCATTGGTGAAGGGTCCCTGAAGCTCTGTGGACCTCCAAGAGAGTTCACTGACATTTTTAATTGTATTTCAAACCCAGAGGGGATCTGTCCTGACAGTTCACTCAGAGAAGATCTACTAATTCATCCCTGGCATGATTATGACCCAAAATGTTAAATACCCCATAGAAAAATCAAATTCTATTTTAGTCAAATAGAAAAAGATAATTCAAGTAGGACAGCAAGTTCATAAATTTTGATTAAAAAATTAATTCCTCTTTGTGCATTCTCTAGCATTATTTTAAAGGCTGCATGACTTTTTTTTTCAAGATTTATTTATTTATTTGAGAGAGACAGAGCAGGGGAGGGAGGAGGGACAGAGTGAGAGGGAGAGAAAGTCTCAAGCAGCATCTGCGCTGACTGTGGAGCCCAGTGTGGGGCTCGAGCTCACGACCCCCAGATCCAGACCCGAGCCAAAACCAAGAGTCGGATGCTTAAGCAACTGAGCCACTCAGGAGCCCCAAAGGCTGCGTGACTTTTAAAAATTACACGATTTAATGCAGAGAAAAGGTGATGCCCAAACACAATGGGAACACTAGACTGGGGACAAGACAGTAAATGTGTCCCTGGACAATTACACCCTTCCCTCTGCTGAGTGTTTACAATAAAATGACAGGGTTTCCAAAAATAAAAGTTTTGGTATCTGGACTCAGGTCCTGACCAAGTGTTCTATTTCACTTTACTGCGCTTACTGAAGAAAGCCACCGACTAAACACAGTCATGCCCACAAAATTCACCTCCATATTAGTATTTTCAGGGGTTCAGGGGTATAAGCTGGATTTTTTAAAATTTTAATTGAAAAGTGAATCTGCCTGGAGTCGGATCCCCCAGGCTGTTGTGAGGGGGCGTCTGGCAGCTAGTAGAGCTGTCTGCACATGGGCCTCCCTCTGGATGCACTGTGCTCTCACCAGTGAGGTTTTTTAATTCTCTCAACAACCTTCCACGATAGCTATTAACACCCTCTTTTTCACATGAGTTAACTTTCTCGGGGAGGTGAAGGGTTTTCCTTAACAACCTTCAGTGAGGAACGCAGGCCTCCAAAGCTCTAGACCCATCACAGCAATGGCAAGCCTGGTGCCACAGCAGACTTATTTACCAGGCCATAGCTGAAGAACGATGGGCTGGATCTGGAAGCCCAGTCCTTTGATACTCAGTGTCGCGGGCAAGGTAGAAAAGCCAGATGGAATAGAGCAGAATTTGAACTCATGGAGGAGCTCCAATCAAAGTGACACCATCTCAAGTTCGTATAAAAGTGCCCATAGCTATCTGGGATTCAAGATGGCAGCGTTTTCTTGGAGAAAAGCATTTCATGGACAAGCCACTGTCCATGTACTCAGCATATACCTCAAATGGAAATAAACAGAGGGATCAACCTTGTGTCATCCTGGGTTTCAAGGTAGCCTGCCCACTGCCTATGTCTAACGTGGTGGGGTTATTAGCATATTCAAAACCTCTGTTAAGAACAAACATTTCAAATCAGATCTTAAGTACAAAGATCTAAACCCATCAGGAAAGCAGACACTCTTGTGCAAAAACCACCACAGACTGCAAACACTACCAGGTACACGGTCAGTTGGAGTGCAGAAGGCTCTCACCCAAGAAAGAATTCACTCAAGGATGGTCTACACACCGCGCTTCAGCCAGATGGGACTGTATGAAACGGGTCTATGCTTTCCTTTGAAAATATTTCTCCACCAGCTCCCTGTGCATCTCCCCTTAGAAACACAAGAGGAAGAGGTAGGACTGGAAAGGAATTAACACTAATACCAAATATATCTCTCTCTCTGCATTATTTTGGACCCCTAGTAACACACAATTTTATCATTGTGAAATCCACAGGATTATCTGAATTCTCTGTAACACTGACGTTCTCTTTTCAACTATGTTTTGAAAAACCCGAGCCACAACTTGGGGCTTCTCCCCGGTCTTTTGGGGGGCAGCTGGCTGCAGCACTTGCTTCCGCTGTGAGGGCATGCTCTGGGCTTGCGTGCCTCAGTGCCTCGATCTGCAGCTCTGGGAGCACTGCCCGTCCTGGGGCCAGAGCCTGGCACCGAGATGTCCCCGTGTGGCTACCTTAGTCTCACTTAAACTTCCAGCGCCGGCTGCACCACCAGACACGTCTTCTGGATGGTCCCAGGCAGTTCCTTCACACCTGCAAGGAGGCCCAGGGGTGATGTCCATCACAAATGCACTTCACTCCCGGAGGAGTCGCTAAGGGTTAACGAGAGGCTACGTGCCCCGTTCTGCTGATGGCTATGTGCTGGACACAACAGCTCTACCTGCTTTACAGGTGGCCCAAGTTCCCAGCCAACTCGAATCTCCCAAAGCCTCAGACTGAGTGCTCAGGTGATACCACCTCGCCCCCTTGATTCACAGAACTGAGTAACATAAAAGGCAGGGAGAAGGGTTTGTACTGGTCCCAGTGAAACACGGCACTGGTACTCCACCCTCACAGCGACCCTGGGAGATAAATCTTATCATTCAGCTCAGGAACTAAACCACCAGATGTCCCCCAGCTGGAATCTGAAGCTACCCTGGGGTCTGATTTCAAAGCCCAGCCTCGCTCTTTCTTCTCAAAAAAGATCACCACTAGCAGGCAGAGCCTGGAGACTCAGGTGAAGATTGTCTGCCGTTGCCCTCTGTCGGGAGTCTCTGCTACCCCGGGAGGTTGGCTTCAGCCTCTTCAAGAGGGTAGGGACAGCACACAATGCTGTAGCAAAGAAGCCCGCCCATGAAGGTACATACCACTTTATTTTCAAAGAAACTGTTTCTCTTTGATGCTAATGAAGCAAACACAGAATTACCGAAAGCCACAATCTGACTGGGTTGGGTAAGGCACACAACGTAAAGACTCACAGCCCCCTCAGGTGTGCATCATAAACAAAACTTACATATGCCAAACACACCAAGAGAACCCCCCAGACCCCTAATCTGTAGACAGCGAGAAAGACAATTATCTTTATTCTTTTATTTAAAAGGGGGGGGGATCACGTGACTATCATAGGCCTCTGGGCTCATGAATGCCACAGCCTCATCTCATCCTTTCTTCCCCTCCTCGCCCTTCCCACGTGAGACCCCTCTTCAGAGCACATAGGCCCTGCAATGGCCTAGGGGATATCCAGCTCAGAACGAATATGGAGGGTCACCGCCTGACCAGAACAACATGGGGACAGGCTGTCTTGTTGACTTCTGGCAGAACAAGCTATATTTCATTCCTACCGAACTAGTTGGTGGAAAACTTTATTCCGGTGGAAAAGTGCTCATTTCAGACACTGAACAAAGCTACACAAAAGTCTCCTTGAATGGCTTGGCTAAAACTCAAGCCTGGTTTCTCCCCTCGTGCACGGTGGTTCCCAGTCAGGGCCCAGAGGGTACCGAAGGCCATAAGCTAGTTTCCAAAATTTCAAAAAGTCCCATGAAATTAGGATTTTTACTCAAGATAAAGCAGTCCTAAGCAGGACAGATACCAAGTTTTTCTGCACTGGGCTAGATTTACTTCAGTTCTAAATGATAAAGCCGGTTCTCAACTGATTCTGTTGATCAGAAGGTTGTTAATGAAAATGGAAAAAAAAAAAAGTACTAATTTCTAACTCTCTGAACAGCCCCCAAGAGGTATCACATGTGGCTAAGGTAGGTGTCTGGGGAGGAGGGTAAATGGTCAGATTTTCAGCTCTGAGGTTTCTAGGTTCTAAAATAACAGAGATTTCTGCCTTCGGGACTGAGAAAAAGAGCAAAACTGCAGGTAGTGGGGTCAACCACATATAAACAGGCCAGAGAAAGTGGTAAGAGACCACGGGACAGGAGCATGAGGGTTCCAGGCTCGGCTCAGCAAGCCCAGTGCCCTGTATTGTATGACTCTGCCTGTTTCCTCCACCAGGACCAGGGTCCCTCAGCTCTGATTCAGCGGCTTTGACATGCAAATGGATTTAATAATTATCAAAAACTGATGATGCGGTACCAAAAAAATTATTAAAACTTATCTAAAATTCTGTGACAAAAAAAGTCATAATGCAAATCTTAATATGAATTTAAATATTACAGTCCACTGCTGAAAAATTCTAACAGATAGGAATTTGATTAGTAACACCATTTCC